TGCATCATCCTTCATGACCACTAACTTTATGTTTTTTTTTTTTTTTTCTTTCCTTTGTTGTTCTGTTTCCTATTTTGCCAGGAAGTATTTCCATAGTTGCTGAGAATCAAAGCACAAAAGAAATCCCTACCTATGTAAATGTTTGAATGGAGGACGCCAGTAAAAACAAAAACAAAAACAAATCAACAAAAAATAAAAAAAAAAAACAATCAAAATCCAAACAAACAAACACTCACTGCATCGGGATTTTTAATTCTTCAGACACAGACAACAAGGGTTTTTAGCTTTAAGCCTGTGCATGTGGACAATACTTTGAGAACATGTCTGGAGGGGCAGTGTACACAGGTGCTCTATTTTAATGGAAAACACTCCCCTCACCCTTTCTTCTTCTCTCTCTTTTTTCTGATCGGTCGTGTTTGTAGAGAATTCATAACATATACAGGCCAAGGAAATCTGCATGTATTTTTGGAAATATTCTTGGCTCTAGATCTAACAGCTATTTTAGCACTCCAGGCTGATGGGTGGATTAGCCACCCCAGCTCCTTTCATAAGACACAAAGACATGCACAGGAGTTTGAAACCCTGAGCTGTTTCTCTGTTCCACTTTCCTTATGGTCATTTTCCCTTCTGAGTTAGCTTTGGTAGCTCTGTTGGTCAGCAGTGGCTACAGGGCTGCTTTCTCCATTCTCTGTGGCCACAGGGACAAAGATATGAGTGAAGACCCGTGTAAACAGGTAGAAAAGGGAAGGAAGGGAAGCAGGGAGGCAAAGCATGTCAGGAATGGGCCTGTTTTTCCTGTTTATCTCTTCCCACCCCACGACTGGCTGCTTCCCCTTACAGCTCTTCCTACTCCTGCCTCAACTTATGTAGAAAATGGAACCCCGTTAGTTACCCATTGTCTTAGCCTTCCCGTTTGTTTGCCATCCATGCGTGGCCATGATCTATCGATGTCTTTGAATCTCTTCTTTCCAATCCCCAAGTTATCCTTCAGCTGCTCCTACTTTTTCTTCCCAAATACGTTGCTAGATTCTGGACATTAACCCTGACGTTTCCTAAATACTGGCCTAGCCTCTGCCCCCCCTGCCTCCCACCACTCGCAAATTTCTGATCCTTTTGTTAGTTTTGTACACTCCCAAGCATGCCAGCTTCTGTGCTCACTGACCCAGCTGCGTCCTGCACAGCAGGGTTCAGTTTCATGTATCCTTTGTCTCTTCCTCTAGAACCCACCTTTTGCAAATATCCCTGCCTTTTCCCACCTGGAAACATATAATGTGTGTGAAAGAGTTGATATATGCAAAGCAATTCAAACCTGGCCATGTACTTTGGAAAAGGAAGCATACAGATGAATAATGGTGTTCTCACACCTTGACAAAAAAACAAAATCTCATGTGGTGTGATTCCAGGAAGTTCTTTTGAGAAATGTTTTCAATGTGTGACGATGTTGCAGGGCAATTTCTTCCTATGATGGTTGCTGTTACCCAATATTTCCTCTCTCACAGCAGAATAAACATATTTGTGAAATAAAACTGATTTTAACCAGAAGGAGAAGCAGGTTAATGGAATTAATGTGTAAGAGTGTCAAAAAGGCTTAGAGAACATATGGAGGTTTTGTCTTACATTAGGATGAGAATTTGATTATCTGAAGTGATCCTAGTGATTTCACATGTGTGCTCTCTGATCTCTGAGTATCGTAGTATCATTAAAGGAAAAAGAAGTCAGTAGAAAAGGGAAAAGCTTGCTGATTAGCAAAGTGGATTGGCTCAAAGCAGATTGGCTAAAAGCACGAAGAAATCCCAGTTTTCCCAGGGCTATCATGACAAAAGGCCCAGAGAACGAAGGAAACAAAAGCCTGTTCAGTTAGGACTGGGTAAAGCCTGCTCTAAATTAGAGGAGAAAGCAGGTCTGAAAAACCACTCAGAGAGCTCAACCTCCTTCTTGGCTGTGTCCACAAGCCAATTACAGGGTATAACAGGGGCCCCGGTGGTAACGGGGGTGTCCTAAAGTCCCCGATGACTCCTCCCTTACATAGCTCAGGCAAAGAAAGAGGAGCAAAGCTGCTGTCAGAAGTTAATCAAGCAGAAATTTTTATGGTTGAGGATGCACCACATGAATCTGGGAAATGGATTGTGCCTGAGGCAGCCACCTATTTGTAGAACTCAATTGATCCCCAACCTGCCAGGCTTCCTATCTCACAGGAAACATCCTCATTGATCCTCTTCAGTTGGAGCCTCCTAGATTTAATCTGGAAGACAAAGTCTTTGAAAACCAAAAGAGGCTCACTCAAACCAGCAGTCCTCAGAGTTGCACTTCACTTCATTTTAATTAGAAAATTATGAAAAAAAGGAATAACACTCTTAATCTAGCACAGTGCCTTGCCTAGAGTAGTAATATGAAAATTACTTGTTGAAAAAATAAATAAAGGAAAAGATACAGGGAAGAATGGGCCGAAAATCCTAATTAAAAAT